CAGTGATCCATTGTGAAGACATCCCACAAAAATAGTTCCTATATTTCTTAGATATAGCTACAATGACAATGTTGATTTTTGTGAAAAAAGCAAACTAATGTGTGGGCATATTTCTTTACATGTTATTCTAATACCATACTGTATTAACACTCAAGAGAGATCTAAAATAAGTTAAATGAACCTGCAAAATCAAGGTTATTAAAAAAAAAATTCTATGGCTGCTATTCCATGTGATCACTGTATACCACACTAATTGAGGAAGAAAGTCCATACATAGAATGAATGGTTGCAAAATTCAATTAAGAGTTAATCTTTCCCCTTTGTCAATTTTAACCATTCCTTTTATTTGAAATGTTTTAAGCAATTAATTTCATATCCAAATAAGCAAGATATGCAGTTAAGAGTGAATTCAGATAAGAGAACATTGGTTAATTGAACAATCACAGTACGTTCTTAATGAGATCGTGTTAGGTATTGTACAAATAACTTCTTGTTGATTTGATAAAATTTCTTTATCTTTACAGATGACCCCTGATTAATGAACTAAATAGGGACTGAAGGAATGGTTTGTTAAGCAAAGTGCATTTTCCCATTAAAGCCCATTTTCAAACTTGAGATTAGGACTGGAATGATATTCTGTATTTAATTCCTACTGATTTTTTCAGTGATAAAATTGTTCAAAATGTGCTCAGAGTCGGGTTCATTGTTTAGTGGAGGCATAGTGAAGTTATATTTATAAATGCATGACACAGAAACAGCATGGAAAATTATGAAAATATCAAGAGCAGTATCACATGTTTGTCATTACTGGATTGAAGGATTGTGATGGCTCCTAGGCCATCACAAAGATTGGATAATGGCCCTTAAACAGTTACAATCTTTCAACGTAAGTTGACCTAGGAGCTGTCACAACCCTTCAAATTAACAAAAAACTGTGATAATTACTAATATATTGCAAGAATTTTTTTTACACTTTGTTATGCACTTATAAAATGAGGGGGAAAAGGATGGTGGTAGTGTAACACCACTATTGCTCTACTAAACAACAGACCCATCTCTGGTGAAGGGATGTCATATTACATGGCATGGCCTAGCTTCTCTTTCAGACAATCAGACCATGTTTCTCCTGGGGTGAACAATTTATGCATAAAAGCATTCCCATTTTCCTCAAATTGTAACTAATGCAGAGGATATGAAACCAGTGTTGCCCTGCATATGTAGGAAACATAATTTAGTTCCATTTGTGGAAACCTGAGTTGATAAAAAATATTTATGAACATTACCTGGTCACTGTACAAGGACATGGTTGTTAGGTGGGAGCCAGTCATTAAGCTGGATAACTCTTTTTTGGTAGCTATTTGAAATTACATGATGTAAAAAGTCATTAAGTGGGGGCTTGGTGTATTCATTTTGCTACATACACTTTTAAACAAATCAAATTTTAAATGCTTTCTTGTGACGTGTTATCACCAACGTTACAAACCTCTTCAAACACAAAGAACAAAATTACAAAAAAATTGCCACACTTAACAGTTTAACAACCCATGAAAGTCAATACAAATAGCACATAATGTACCAAAAAATCACCTCTCAAACATTCTCTCCATTATTCATGTGATTCTGTTTAAGTACTGTACACACAAATGACATTATATACAGTATGCATGAGTATGTACATGTTTGCATGTATGTGTATAGATATATATACCATACAGAATAGGTATGTATGTACCAATGGGAAAAAAACTAGTTGGTATGTTGTGGCACCTATGGAGGCACGGGTTTTGAATGTTGTCATGAAGAGGCTAGATGCAGTAGAGATGTCATATTTGAGACCAATGTGTGGTGTGAATATTATGCAGAGAATTCAGAGAGTAGAAATTAGAAAAACAGTGTGGGGGTTACCAAGAGCATGTATAATTAAGAAGGCTGAGGAATTAATTGTTGAGATTGGGCATTTAGAGAATGGAGATGGATGGCATAAGGTGGGTGAATAAATCTGAGATGGAAGGTAGGAGGTTCCAGGAACAGTTGGAAAGGGAAGGGAAATGAAGCTTTGAGTACCTGCTGCAAACTTGTTGGATCAGAGTGAAGACAAGTGGGTTTTAATGTTTGATCTGCTGTTGGAGTATGAAAGGTTAGCTAAACATATTCTAATGGTGAGAAATGCTGTGAAATGTAATGAACACTGACCAGTGTCTAGATAAACCCATAGGAGATGCACACACACACAAATCTGAGGTATATATCAAACTCATATCTACTGGAGAGGATCTCAAGTGAAGACTGAATATGCAGCTCCTCAGATTTTCAAGTTCATCTCTTATGGGTTTACTTAAAACATAAACCATTGGCTATTGCGTGTAATGAAAATAATTGACTGCCAACTTTGTCTCATTTAATTACATACTAGGGCAATTTTGAAATTGGGTTGTTTGAATGTGTGCATAGTATGGATATCAAGAAAGCATTGCTAAATGAAAGGGAAGCTGGGTATTGTAGCACTGAGTGAGCAGGGCTTTAAGAGGAATGAGCTTGAACAAGGAGGAATAAATGTAACTAAGTCAGGTACATCCAAGAGAAAAACACCTAAAGGTTTAGGAGGAATATTAAATCTTTTCCCGATCATAATGACACCAAAAGTATGAAATTTGATGGAAAACTTACAGAATTATGCTCTCGCGAAGTTAGCAGTCTCGACGATGTTTACGCATTGGTGATTTTACCCACTTTGAGCCCTATTTTCTGCCAATTCCAGTGTATTAGTCGACAAAAATCATAACTATTTCGCTAGAACTCCATTTTTTCTATGGAATGAGTACAAGAAACCACCCATTTACCAATTTCAACTATCCAATAAAGTGGTCAGAAATTGGCAATTTTGCCAATTTCACACAAATTTCAGAAGATGCCACTTTCCAAATAGGGTTCAGAATAAACAAGACACATTCCTGGCACTAAAATAACATTTTCTCTGTTCATTAGTCACGTTCCCACGCCCCTCTTACATTCTTTTGCTTTCCACTTTGAATTTTTATTGTCACATAAAACAGAAGATTTACTGTTATGCAGACTACTGCATTTGTGTAGAAATGGTATAAATAATATCAGCGCACTTGTGAAAGAATATTAGACTCACCAGTTGATGTGTAATGGACGCTTGGCATGATTTGTTTACTTGTGAACTTTGGTAAAAATCGAACATTTCTGCTACTTTGAGCTCAATTTCAAGGTACTTTTCATTGTAAAACCAGTCAAAATCATCTCAATTTCTGTAATATGTCTTCCATTCTACAAAATGAGACCAGGAAAACTAGAATACAACAATAAATACCATACGAAAATATACTGCAAAGTCGCTGTTTTAAACCAAAAACACGGTCGGAGTTTTTTTTTCTCATTACGCACTGTGTGCTGCAGGATTTTGTTTATACTGTGCACATTGACCACATAGACCGATTCTTTCATATGTAGGCCTACTAGCTTTCTCTCACTAGATTTGAAGGTGCTAGAATTTAGGCGTACCAGTACGTCAATAACCCTGGTGTGTAAGCCGTACTAGTACGGCTGAAACCCTGAAAGGGTTAATTAAAAAAACGGTCGTAGTTTTTTTTTTTTCCTCATTATGCACTGGGTGCTGCAAGATTTTTTTTTATATAGTGCACACTGACCACACAGACCCATTCTCTCACATGTGGGCCTACCAGCTTTCTCCTGCTTGATTTGAAGCCGCTAGAATTTATGAGTACAGGTCTCCCTCAACATTCGCGAGGGTTAGGGGATCAAGAGCCTCGCGAAAGTTGAAAAACCGTGAATGTTTGGTGCCCCAATATATTGTAGGGAAATATATTACAATACTGCTTCCTTAACTTGTTGAACCATGAATAATCATAAAATACATGAAAACGTCGTAAATTGTACTAAATATATACATGTTATGCTTTAATAACGTATGTTATTTAATAACATGTATGTTAATAACATGTATGTTATTAAATACCACAGACTCCACCACTGCGAGTCCCTACTACGCTCCCTCCGACCCCCGCAACTGGCAGCCAGCCCTCCCACCACTCAGTGTGGTGAGTGTTTTGTTTGTTCATTATTTGCTATTAAACTACAGAATAAATAATGTAAACCCATTCATGACTGCATATTGGAATGGCTATTAGGAAAGGTATTAGACGGTGACATCATGTGTTTACTCTTGAACACAGCAAAGAATCGAACATTTCTGCTATTGCTAATAATAACAATAGTAATAATAATATTAATAATAATAATAATAATAAATACAATATAATTGAAGGAAATTTTACAAAAATACGAGGGAGTGGTTGACACATCGTCAGTGTGACTTTGTTTATGCTCGAGTGAACATTAGTCTCCCTGCTCTTCCAAACATTTCACAATAATTCAGCGGTTGAGGCAGTGGTATTTAATAACATACATGTTATAAATAATAATAGTACATGTTATTATTAATAACATGTATTATTATTATCTATGTATTTAATAACATATATGTTATAAATAATAATAGTACATATTATTAATAACATGTATTATTATTAACATGTATGTTATTAAATACCATTGCCTCAATCACTGCCTCTACCACTCCAGTCACACTCAATCTACAAGTACCAAACACAATTAATTATTGTGAAATGTTTGGAAGAGCAGGGAGACTAATGTTCACTCCAGCATAAACAAAGTCACACTGACGATGTGTCAACCACTCCCTCGTATTTTTGTACAATTCTCTTCTTTCAATTATATCATATTTATTATTATTATTATTTATTATTATTATTATTATTATTTATACTATTGTTATTATTAGCTGTAGCAGAAATGTTTAATTCTTTGCAGTGTTCAAGAGTAAACACATGATGTCACCGTCTAATACCTGTCCGAATAGCCATTCCAATATGCAGTCATGAATGGGTTTACATTATTTATACTGTAGTTTAATAGCAAATAATGAACAAACAAAACACTCACCACACTGAGTGGTGGGAGGGCTGGCTGCCAGTTGCGGGGGTCGGAGGGAGGGTAGTAGGGACTCGCAGGTGGCAGGAAACAAATATGATTTGGCGGCTGGGAATTTGGTGGCTGGAAATTTGGCGGTTGGGAATTCGCGAATGTGTGAAGCCCGTGAAAGTTGAAAACGTGAATGTTGAGGGAGACCTGTATATGTACGTCAAAAAACGGTGGCTTATAAGACGTATATATACGACCAAAACAGTCAAAGGGTTAAAACTGTGTGGAATCTGCCTCCACCACTTCACTGAGGTCATTCCACTTTCCAACCACCCTGAAACTGAATACTTCCTGACATCCCTGTGACTCATCTGTGTCGAACTTTCAGCTGTGCCCCCCAAATACTAGTTTCTCACCTCTCAAACAGCCTGTCCCTGTCTGCCTAATCAATTTCTCTGAGTATTTTGTATGTTATGTCTCCCCTGGTTCTTTTGTCCTCCAAGGTCATTATTCAGTTCCTTTGACCTCACTTTGTAGCTCATACCCCTTAGCTCTGGAACTAGTCTCATTACATACTACTGCTGCATACTCCAAGATGGGCCTGACATATGTTGTATAAAGAGACCAGAATGACTGTCAGATTCCTGAAGGCCACTCAAGATTTGCCAGACAAGTATTAGCTGTGCAGGTTATTCAGTTGATGTGAGCCTCTGGTAATATGCTAAGCACTATATTTACTCCCAGGTCCTTTTTGAATGAGGTCTGAAGCCTCTGTCCCCAGTGTCTATACTCTGTATTTGGTCTTTGGGTCCCTTCCCCAATTTGCATAACCTTGCATTTTCAGGGGTTGAATTCAAACAACCACTTAACTGACCAACCCAGCAGTTTGTCCAGCTCCATATACAGCCTTTCTCAGGTCTACATTCTCTTCATTAGTTTTACATCAATGAACAAATGTCATTCACTTAAACCAGAAATAGTACTGACCCTAATACTGATCCCTGCAGTACCCTGCTTGTTACTCTTCCCCACTCTGACATCTCTTTCTGGACAATCACTCTTTACTCCCTTCTAAGGTACTTTCTGATTCTTTGGAGTATGTTACCTGTTATTCCTGCCTGCATCTCAAGTTTTATCATGTCTTGTGGGATACTGTATCAAATAAAAGGTATAATTCAGGGAGCAGAAGAGGTCAAAATACAGTGGCTATTTAGAAAGTTTAGAGCAAGATAAAGGTTGTATTAATCTGGGATGAATGAAAGGTGTTGGGACAGTGTGGGAATGGTTGAAAGAATGTGAAGGAAGTTCTAAAATGTAGGGGCTTGAGCATCTAGCAGGCACATGAGAGGCTGGAGTTATTAAGTGGCTTTTGGGATTTGACATGCTGTTAGTGTATAAGCAAAGTAACATCCATGGAGCTATTCCGGAAAACTGGTTAGCCAGACTAGTTCTGGATGTCGAAAATACAGTGCCTACCTTCTGAAATATGGGTTAGGATGTTGCATTATGGTAAGTAAATGACTGGAACTGTGATATTCATTCTCTTTTGGAGAAAACAAGGTGGTGAATGTGTTCCTTGTTTGGGCTACCCTGGCTTTGTGGGAACACCTGTTAAAAAACATGCATGTGTAGTTTTTCATCCAGGGTAACCCAATTTAATGCTCTATGACCTTGAAAGCATTTTAGTTTTCAAGAATAATACATTGTGTGAAGTGTAAAAATGATGAATAGGATATAAAGATTTTAACAGGATGCACCATTTGTAACCCCTATTTAAAAAATTAACAATTGCTCAATCATACTATATGATAATCTTTTACCACACAAAAGCATAAAAGTAATAAAGTCACAATCAGTAGTTTCTCTGCTGCACTACAACCAATGCATACTGGACGGGAGAAGTTTACCATTTATCAACAGAGTAAGGCTGAGAATAGGTTGGGTTACATGAAGACATGACATAAAAACTGGTAAAATAAAATATTTCAAGGAGCTAAAACAATAAAAATAATAAAATTAAAAAATGATAAAGAATAAAGAAGAAATCATTGCACTGTAGAGAATCACAAATTATCAGTGCTACTCAATTAGTACTTAGTACTCTTTATAAATGAATAATGTTTTGTTACATAGAACATGTTACACTATTTACTGTACAAATGTTTATGCTGACTGTCTTTTCTTTGGTGTTATTACTGAGAATAAACACGCTTCGTATAAATACTGTACCTCTAAAATTCCAATGTATTGCTTTTATTCAAGTGATATGAAAAGAAAAGCCATAAACCTATTAAATCACCACAAAATATATTTATATATATTTATATATAATATTTATATAATTATATACACACTCAGAAAAGTGAGTTATTAATCAACCAATAAAACTACTGTCTTTGGAAATTGTTAGATTAGCCCTTTTGTCATCTATAGTTTATTAAATTTAAGTGCTAATTGGTAGTCATCTGACAGCAAACATATAGTGGACACTGAATTTGTGACAACTTCAGAGCTCTTTAAAATCTGCAGAAATGCAAAACATATATATACCTTCGTGTGGCTCTGAAGACAGCAGGACCCATCAAAGAAATACATGGGTCATTGTCAACTAGAGGGAAATTTGAATTCTAAACTTGGCACTGCCACCATCTGTTCTTGTGCAAGAGCAGACAACTCTAGTAGCCAATCTCGCAGAAGTACAGCACATCTTGCTGCATGGAGTTTATCAGGAACCAGTCCTGAACCTGCACCAATATCCACACTTGCTAATGATGATCGTTTTACATACCTTAAAAAAATAAGAAGATATTAGTTGATTTATTAAAGTGTAAATAGGTACAGCCCCACTAAAACATGGAATAAAGTACTGATGGTAAAGACAGGCAAAATTAATATATGTACTGTATATTAAAACCCAATACTGTACTTAAACTACAAATTTACTAAATTATTTTTAAATTACCTGTTATTTCTGTTTGGTTTACGTAGTCACTACCAAGGGAGGTGGCTTCTCCTTAATGTAACTTGGCTGCCAGAGAGGCAACATGATCACTGCTGTACTTAACCCCTAAAAATGTTTTCTACACTATTCAACTTTCGGACATGTTCAACAACTTTATCTTGTATTTAGATTATGTGGCTTTACATCTTAAATCTGGTTATGATTGTAATAATAATAACAATACTATGATAATACTATGATTGTAATAATATGCCATAAATTACTTTAAAAACTTCTAAAATGAAAGTTTTCAGGAATGTACCTGCTATACTGTTCAAGACTTTATGTAAAAAGTTGGTAAAAATACACAAAGCATAAACAAACTAAATAATGTGCTGTGGTGGGGGAAGAAAAAAAGGATATACATGTACTAGCCAATATTGATTTAGGGGCCAGTTTCTACAAAATGAAGCTGTCTGGGTAATCCTTTAAACTGCTTCTAATTATAAGCCATTAGGATATGTGTACTGTCATACATCCTAAGTGGCAGCACAACTGAGACAAAGGTAAAAAGATAAACAGGTAATAAAAAGTAAAGTGCAAACAAAACTATTCAAAAGTAGGCAATATGAATTTGAAGGATACAGTTAAGTTTATATATTAAAACACACCAAGATAAGAATAGTTCATGCCAGTAAAGATAATCCTTAAATAAAGCTGTTACTGTGATATACTGTACATAAACTAACTTTACCTGTAGCCAGATTTATCAGGTAGATCCTCAAGGGGACTTTCCTTGATTGCTGACCGCTCATTACTGGTCCGACGAAACAAGGAAGACACGGTTTGAGAGAGACTACGCCGCTTTCCTTCACCTGTTGGCGAACATCCCTTAATTCACTGATGAACAAGGGCTCAACTTTTCCATTGCAACAATATACATAAATACTGTATTTTACACATTTTAAAATTCTTCTTCTTTCAACAAACTGGCCGTATCCCACTGAAGCAGGGTGGCCCAAAAAGAAAAAGAAAAGTTTCTCTTTTAAGCTTTAGTAATGTATACAGGAGAAGGGGTTACTAGCCCCTTGCTCCTGGCATTTTAGTTGCCTCTTATGACATGCATGGCTTACGGAGGAAGAATTCTGTTCCACTTCCCCATGGAATTATCTCCCAAAAATATAAGATAGTATCTGACTTGATAGGTAGTATTATTATTATTATTATAATCAAAAAGAAGTGCTAAGCCACAAGGGCTATACAGCTTGATAGGTAGTAGCTTGGTAGACAACAGAAACAGAAGCCTGTAATTGTTTTACACAACAGTAGGATTGCTGGTGTCGTTTCTTTCTGTTTCATAAATACACAAGATACACCTTGTTACTCCTTTTTACACTTAGGCCACACTAAACAGGCATGTACACATATATGTACGAAGAAAACAACAGGGTGATGGTGGACACACTGGCTGAGGTGGCAAGAAGAGCTCACTCGAGCAGAGCAAAGTTACTGGTAATGGGCGATTTCAACCACAGGGAGATCGACTGGGAAAACCTGGAGCCACATGGGGGTCCCGAAACATGGAGAGCCAAGATGATGGATGTGGTACTTGAAAACCTCATGCATCAACATGTCAGGGACACAACCAGAGAGAGAGGGGAGGATGAGCCAGCAAGACTGGATCTTGTGTTCACCCTGAGCAGTTCAGACATCGAGGACATCACTTACGAGAGGCCCCTTGGAGCTAGCGATCATGTGGTTCTGAGTTTTGACTATATAGTAGAGTTACAAGTGGAGAAGGTAACAGGAACTGAAGGGGACAGGCCAAACTATAAAAGGGGGGACTACACAGGTATGAGAAACTTCCTGCAGGAGGTTCAGTGGGACAGAGAAATGGTAGGAAAAACAGTAAACGAGATGATGGAATATGTGGCAACAAAGTGCAAGGAGGCAGAGGAAAGTTTTGTTCCCAAGGGAAACAGAAATAATAGGAAGACCCAAAAAGAGTCCTTGGTTTACCCGAAGGTGTAGGGAGCAAAAACTAAGTGCAACAGAGAATGGAAAAGGTACAGGAGGCATAGGACCCAGGAAAACAAGGAGATTAGTAGAAGAGCCAGAAACGAGTATGCGCAGATAAGGAGGGAGGCCCAGCGACAGTATGAAAACGACATAGCATCGAAAGTCAAATCTGACCCGAAACTGCTGTATAGCCACAATTAGGAGGAAGACAACAGTCAAGGACCAGGTGATAAGGCTGAGGAAAGAAGGTGGAGAACTCACAAGAAACGATCAAGAGGTATGTGAGGAGCTCAACACGAGATTTAAGGAAGTATTTACAGTAGAGACAGGAAGGACTCTGGGGGACAGACCAGATGGGGACACCAACAAGGAATACACCAACAAGTGTTGGACGACATACATACAGATGAGGAGGAGGTGAAGAAACTGCTAAGGGACATCGATACCTCAAGGCAATGGGACCGGACAACATCTCTCCTGGGTCCTTAGAGAGGGAGCAGATATGTTGTGCGTACCACTTACCACAATCTTCAACACATCCCTGGAAACTGGGCAACTACCTGAGGTATGGAAGACGGCCAAATGTAGTTCCCATTTTCAAAAAAAGAGACAGAAAAGAGGCACAAACTATAGACCTGTGTCATTGACGTGTATAGTATGCAAAATTATGGAGAAGATTATCAGGAGGAGAGTGGTGGAGGACCTGGAACGAACAGGAGTATAAATGCCAACCAGCACGGATTCACGGAAGGCAAATCCTGTGTCACAAACCTTCTGGAGTTTTATGATAAAATAACAGAAGTAAGACAAGAGAGAGAGGGGTGGGTTGATTGCATCTTCTTGGACTGCAAGAAGGCCTTTGACACAGTTCCTCACAAGAGATTAGTGTAGAAGCTAGAGCATCAGGCGCATATAACAGGAAGGGCACTGCAATGGATCAGAGAATACCTGACAGGGAGGCAACAACGAGTCATGGTACGTAATGATGTATCACAGTGGGCACCTGTGACGAGCGGGGTCCCACAGGGGTGGGTCCTAGGACCAGTGCTATTTTTGGTATATGTGAACGACATGACGGAAGGGTTAGACTCAGAAGTGTCCCTGTTTGCAGATGATGTGAAGTTAATGAGGAGAATTAAATCTGATGAGGACCAGGCAGGACTTCAAAGAGACCTGGACAGACTGGACACCTGGTCCAGCAAATGGCTTCTCGAATTTAATCCTGCCAAATGCAAAGTCATGAAGATAGGGAAGGGCACAGAAGACCACAGACAGAGTATAGGCTAGGTGGCCAAAGACTGCAACCTCACTCAGGAGAAAGATCTTGGGGTGAGTATAACACCGAGCATGTCTCCGGAAGCACACATCAATCAGATAACTGCTGCAGCATATGGGCGCCTGGCAACCTGAGAACAGCATTCCGATACCTTAGTAAGGAATCATTCAAGACACTGTACACCGTGTATGTCAGGGGCCCATACTGGAGTATGCAGCACCTGTTTGGAACCCGCACTTGATAAAGCACGTCAAGAAACTAGAGAAAGTACAAAGGTTTGCAACAAGGTTAGTTCCAGAGCTAAGGGGAATGTCCTATGAAGAAAGATTAAGGGAAATCGCCTGACGAGACTGGAGGACAGGAGGGTCAGGGGAGACATGATAACGACATATAAAATACTGCGTGGAATAGACAAGGTGGACAAGGACAGGATGTTCCAGGGAGGGGACACAGAAACAAGAGGCCACAATTGGAAGTTGAAGACACAAATGAGTCAGAGATAGTAGGAAGTATTTCTTCAGTCATAGAGTTGTAAGGCAGTGGAATAGCCTAGAAAATGACGTAGTGGAGGCAGGAACCATACACAGTTTTAAGACGAGGTTTGATAAAGCTCATGGAGCGGGGAGAGAGAGGGTCTAGTAGCAACCGGTGAAGAGGTGGGGCCAGGAGCTAGGACTCGACCCCTGCAACCACAAATAGGTAAGTACACCCATCTGAGTCCCCTGCAACCACAAATAGGTGAGTACAAATAGGTGAGTACACCCATCTGAGTTGTCTCAATACAGGCCTGCCATCACAAATCTGACAATCAGACATATGGTTCCATCAGTTATTCAGCACTAATTCTGGCTAGCATAATTTCAAATTTCTAGGGTCGCCATACCAACCTGGTGGTACTGTTTGGTGGCACTACTTGCTGTGTAAGTCATTCCAATTTCTTTTTCTCCATTTATTGCTATAACCTGCTTGCTTTTAGCCCTAGCCATGGTTCCAACGAATAAAATAAATGCTTCCTGTTGTGTAAAGCACCTACACAGTACATTGTTCATTAACCCTTTGACTGTTCTGGTCGTATATATATGTCTTACGAGCCACCGTTTTTGACGTGTATGTACTCACAAATTCTAGTGGCTTCAAATCAAGCAGGAGAAAGCTGGTAGGTCTACATGTGAGAGAATGGGTCTGTGTGTGGTCAGTGTGCACCATATAAAACAAATCCTGCAGCACTCAGTGCATAATGAGAGAGAGAGAAAAAAAAAAAAAAACATTTTTTTTAATAATCCTTTCAGGGTCCCCAGGCCCTCTCCCAGACTTGTTCTCAGGGTCTCCCAAATTTAAAAAAAAAAAAATTATTTTTTCTTATGAAATGATAGAGAATCTTTTCCCGATCATAATGACACCAAAAGTATGAAATTTGATGGAAAACTTACGGAATTATGCTCTCTCGAAGTTAGCAGTCTCTGACAATGTTTACGCATCGGGGATTTTGCCCACTTTGAGCCCTATTTTCGGCCAATTCCAGCGTACTAGTCGACAAAAATCATAACTGTTTTGCTAGAATTCCATTTTTTCTATTGAATGAGTACAAGAAACCACCCATTTACCGATTTCAACTATCCAATACAGTGGTCAGAATTTAGCAATTTTGCCAATTTCACACAAATTTCAAAAGATGCCAATTTCCAAATAGGGTCTAAAGGCCACACTGTGGTCCAAATATGTTGTACTACAGTGTACAAATAACCTACGAACCAAGGTCCTTCGAAAAAAGCTGTAAAACTAGTGTTTTACAATATAAACCAGTATAAATGAGTCCCTCCAGACTCAATCACAGAGAATGGGCAGCCAAAAGAAAACGGGCACTCACCCAGCGTTCACCCAAAGAAAACGGGAGCTGGGTGACTCACCCAACAAGAAAACGGGGGATGGCACCCTCCAACCACTGCTCCAATCTCGAAAATCGCTGACTTCGACAACAACAACCCAAGTGATGTTCAGTTTGTCTGAGTATATATACACATAGTGTTTATAATGTTTATAGACAGAAATTAAGAGACAAGATTGTGTTAAAGTTTGTTTCTTATAGATCTACCTGTTATATTAAAGGAACTTATATATAAAGTGTAAGCTTTCAAATATATATTAACAGTGAAATTTATATATGTGTAAGTAATATTCACGTGTGATTTACAGTTATACAGTGACATTTATAGTGTATAGTGAATGAAGTGTATAACGTTATTTACGATTAATCATCATGGTCAGGCTGACACAGCAAACTCAAGCCATAAACACCAGCCACATGTACTGTGTACCCTTCATGGTCATTGACCCTGAGGTTAAGCTTAGTAGGTCAGTAGTGTCTGACTCGATTATTGCTGACTTAAGCATAACAAAAACTCAGCTGTAGCAGTAGAGTGTTTTTTAAACATTCTAAGTGTGGTGCTAGAATTTTCAATATACCATTAAAATGGCTTGTTTGAAAACTCAGTTTCAGTCTTTACAGACTAAGATTACACAATTAGAAAATCTAATTTCAGTCTGTATAGGATTAACTCAAGATACAAACATTGATTTTGA